GTGGCTGGGACCGGGGGGGTGAGCCGGCAGCCCCGGGGAAGCCAGTGGCGTCCAGAGCCGGCAGACTGGGAACGGGAGTGCCACCGCGGCGGGCGCAGGATCCGGCCCCGCCGTAGGGATGGGACCCCAGTGGGTGCAGGATCCGGCCCCGTGGCGGTGGCAGCCAGGTGGTTCCCAGCAGGTGGATGGGGGGCATGGCAGGACCGTGGTGTCCTCTGGGTGCAGCTTGCTGGTGGGACAGTCCCCAGGGTGCCACCACCAGCCCTGCCTCTGGCTGTGGGTGCCAGGGTGGGCAAGGGGCCGGCATAACCACCTCCTCCCTGCAGCCCAGCCACAGCCCTGCTTCTCTGGAGGGGTCCTGTCCCCTCCCAGCACCTCAAGGTGTTGTCCCTGCTTAACCCCCACCTGGGGGGGATGGGGTCACCCCAAAGCCTCCAGGAACCAGAAGCTACCCTGGGCTTTGTGAGCCCTTGGGAGGGGGAGCGGGATTTGGGGGGAGAGGTTTCAAGGCCACAGCCACGCATGAGCATGGGAGACCCCCCAGCCCTGGGATTTCACTCTGTCTTCTCTAGTGTCAGTTACTGTGGGCACCCTTGTTAGGTTTCAGAGTGAACAGACCATTGGGCTGGGCAGGCACGTACAGACTGTGGTCCCTTGCTCTGGCAGGAGGTCGTGCAAACCCTGTGTGATGCAGGGTCCATCTGAGCCCTGTGGGATGTGGTACCCAGGATGCAGTATGGGTGGGTGTACTCTGGGGGTGCCACCCCCCCCAAACGGTGACATGCCCCGGCCGTGTTTCACAGGTCCTCCCTGACGTGCCCTCACTGCCTGAAGCAGAGCAACACCTTTGACCCCTTCCTGTGCATCTCCCTGCCCATCCCGCTGCGCCAGACCAGGTGAGCCGGGCCCTGCACCTCCCCAGCCGCTCACCGTGAGAGGCACTGCCACCCAGCAGCGGGGTGATGGCTCCAGTGGCAGTAATTTGCATATTTTGGGGTAAATAATTCCTGTGGGAGATGGTGGAACGTTGGGATGGGTGGCAGCCACCACCACAGGAGCTGTCTCCGATGGGTGTCAGAGCCACTGCGCCGGGACGCGGGTCCATGTGGTGTGGTGACGAGCGGTGTCGGGTCTCAGCGTGGTGTGCGGTGGCTTTGCCCGCTGACGTGTGTCCGTGTCCCCAACTCGGTGTCCCCAGGGCTCTCAACGTCACCCTGGTACTGCAGTGCGAGCGCTGGCGGTTCGTGCGGGTGGGCCTGGCTGTGCCCCTGCTGGGCACCGTGGCCGAGCTGCGGGAGATGGTGGCGCGGGAGGGACACATCCCGCCAGAGCAGGTAACGGGGCAGCAGGGGGGGCCACGCACAGAGGGGGGGCACCCACCCCCCGAGGGACGCTGAGGGCGCCGGGTGCCGTCTCATCCCGCAGGTGATCCTGGCCGAGGTGTCCCCGCGGGGCTTCCTGCGCTCCCTGGGCGACGCGGAGGAGCTGGGTGCTGCTGGGGAGGGGGCTCCCCTCTACGCCTTCCAGCCCCCCCCTGCCCGCCGCACAGGTACTGCTCCCCGTGCCCTGCCATTGGTTAGCAGCTGCCTGCCCGCGCTGCTCTGATTGGCTGGGAGCAGCTCCAGCAGAGCATCCTGGCCCAGCTGCGGGCCCTGCTGCGGGGAGAGGTGCGGGCGCAGGGGAGCTGGAACGGGGGACACCGCTGTCCCCACATGGGGCATGCTCACCCGTGGGCTGTCTCCATGGGTGGCCATTGGTGGACCTGTGGGTGGCCATGGGTGCCTCCATGTGTGGCCGTTGGTGTTTCCATGGGTGGCCATTGTTATCTTCATGGGTGTCCATTGGTGGAGCTGAGTGGCCATGGTGTCTCTATGTGTGGCTATGGTGTCTCCATGGGTGGCCATTGGTGGAGCTGAGTGGCCGTGGTGTCTCCATAAGGTGGCTGTGGTGTCTCCATGGGTGGCCATTATTGTCCTCATGGGTGGCCATTGGTGTCCTCATGGGTGGCTTTGGTGGAGCTGTGGGTGGCCATTGGTGCCTCTACGGGTGGCCAGTGTTGTCTCTGCGGGTGGCCATTGTTGTTTCCAGGGGTGGCCATTGGTGGAGCTGTGGGTGGCCGTGGTGTCCCCATGGGTGGCCATTGTTGTGTCCATGGGTGGCCATTGTTGTGTCCATGGGCGGCCATTGGTGGAGCTGTGGGTGGCCATTGGTGCCTCCATGGGTGGCCATGGTGTCTCCATGGGTGTCCAGTGTTGTCACCGTGGATGGCCATTGTTGTTTCCAGGGGTGGCCATTGGTGGAGCTGTGAGTGGCCATGATGTCTCCATATGTGGCCATGGTGTCTCCATGGGTGGCCGTTTGTGTCTCCATGGGTGGCTGTGGTGTCTCCATGGGTGGCCATTATTGTCTTCATGGGTGGCCACTGGTGGAGCTGTGGGTAGCCATGGTGTCTCCATGGGTAGCCATGGTGTCTCCATGGGTGGCCGTTTGTGGAGCTGTGCATGGCTGTGGTGTCCCCATGGGTGGCCACTGCTGTCCCCATAGGTGACCATTTGTGTCTCCATGGGTGGCTGTGGTGTCTCCGTGGGTGGCCAAGGTGCAGGTGTGAGTGGTCGTGGTGGCACCATCACTGGCTGTGGTGTCACTGTGGGGGACCACGGTGAAGCTGTGGGTAGCTGCAGGGTCACTGGGGGTGGTTGTGGTGGTCCTGGGGGTTGTTGTGGTGTTGATGCTGGTGGTCACTGGGGACAGCCATGCTGTCCCTGTTGGTGGTCATATGCACACTGCAGGCAGCCTGTGGTGGCACAGTGGGTGGCCAGTGGGTGGTTGTGTTGTTGCTGCAGGTGGCCACAGTGTCCCTGTTGGTGGCTGTAGTGGCCCTGGGGGTGGTCACGTCCTGTGGGTGGCCAGTGGTGTCCCTGTGATTGACCATAGTGTCCCTGTGGGTGGCCACAGCATCACCGTGGGTGGCCGCAGTGCCACCCAGCTAGCACGGCAGAGCCCCCCCCAGCTCAGCCACCCTCCCCAGAACCCAGGTGCCACCATCCCATGGGTGCTGGTGTCCCCATGCTGCCCCTCTGCCCCCCAGCCACACCGCAGCCCCACGTCCCCATCCCACAGGTGTCCCCAGCCACAGGGACCAAAGAAATCTGATTTTGGGGGCTTTTGTTGTATGGCTCCCCCCGGGTATTTCTGGGATGTAGGGGGGGCTCTGCCCCACAACCAGCCCCACAGACCCCTCTCCCCTTTCAGGGCGCGGGAGCGCTCTTCCGCATCCGCCTGGCCGGGGGCTCGGCCCCCTGCGCCTACCTGTCCCCGCAGGACCCCCGCCCTCTCTGCCACCCGGCCGTCGACAGGTAAGGGGCAGGATTGTCCCCAGACTGTCCCCTCGTTACCCAGGGGTGGCCAGTGCTGTCACTGCAGCTGGTCACAGTGTCCCTGTGGGTGGCTGTGGTGTCCCTGTCCGTGGTTGTGTTGTCACCATGGGTTGCCACAGTGCTGGCCACTCCATTGCCCAGGGACTAGGACCTCAGCCCCGTGTCCCCACTGTGGGTGCTGCATGGGGAGGTGGTGGCCATCCCTGCGTGCCACCACAGGGTGGTAAGGAGGTGGCCCTATGGGGACAGGGAGGGCTTTGGGGGGCATCTTGCCTCATCCTCGCCCCCCCAGAGCCCTGCAGCTGAGCGGGGCAGGTGGCCCTCCCCATGTGAAGCTGACGGTGGAGTGGGACATGAGCACCAAAGAGCGGTGAGTCCCTTACCCCCAGGGGTGGGTGGGGACACCCAGCACCCAGCTCACCCTCCCTGACTCCCCACCCCCGGCGTCATGTCCCCCCCACCCCATGCAGCCTTTTCGGCAACATCCAGGAGGAGGTGGTGCAGGACGCCGAGAGCGTGCGGCTGCAGCAGCAAGCACACCGGCAGCAGCACAGCTGCACGCTGGACGAGTGCTTCCAGCTCTACACCAAGGAGGAGCAGGTACCTGGCACCCCCGAGCCACGCGGGCAGCGGGCACCCTGCCTGCACCCTGCCTGCACCCAGCAGAACTGCCACCGAGTGCAAGCCCTGCCCACAGCATGGCAGCTGTGGGCATTTTCAGTGCCGAGGGTGGCTTTGGAGGTGGTAGGGGGGTGTTGTAGGGGGAGGTGACATGGCACGTGGTGTCCCCAGCTGGCCCCGGATGACGCCTGGTGCTGCCCGCACTGCAAGGTGCCGCAGCAGGGCACGGTGAAGCTGAGCCTCTGGACGCTGCCTGACATCCTCATCATCCACCTCAAGCGCTTTCGCCAGGTGGCTGAGCACCGGCACAAACTCACCACGCTGGTGAGGTTCCCTCTGCGGGGTCTCGACATGGCCCCCCACGTGGCACAGCGGGGCCAGGCTGGTGGGCAGCTGTTGGGGCGCTGGGCGCCCTGGCAGCCCCCCCTCTGCCTGCCCCCGAGCTGCCCCCGTGACTACCTCTACGACCTCTACGCCGTCTGCAACCACCACGGCAGCATGCAGGGCGGCCACTACACTGGTGAGCGGGGCGGGGGGGGCATGGCAGGAGGGTGGGGGACACTTCAGGGGGCATGGTGTGGGGTTTGAGGGCACTGCAGGGCACAGTGTGGGGTTGGGGGATACGCCATGGGGTACAGCGTGGGTTTGGGGGCAAGCTCGGGCATCTGCTGTTGAGGGGCATGGCATGGGGGGGCCAGCGGGCAGAGGGGCCATGCAGGGCCGGCGTAGCACTGGGACGTGCCCCCCTGCAGTGTCCTGCACCCCCAAGCTGGCCCTGCA